GTATCCAAATCAATCCTGTCCAAGACTGTCTTTATCAGAAGGCTGAAGCATACCACGGTTCGTGTCTGGGATTGGTCTTGCTTCCCAAAGCCCAGTACAGTATTTAATAGAGCTAGGCACTTGTGCCCACTGTGATCACAGGCCTAAGAACTAGAAGCTGGTTTAAAATACCAATTTTGGTCACTATCTTTCTTCCCTAGGACTCTGCCTAGGGCTTGCAAATCTCCTTTCCCAGGGCCTCCACACTACTATTGCAAAGTAGCTCTAAGATTCTGCAAAGTCTCACAGTCTAGAAGCATTGGCTATTGCATCTGACTGCCTGTGGACCTTAATGCTGACTGGCTGTAACCTGAATTTGCTATAGTTTTTTTGGATATTGTGGACTGAAGGCAACTCTTGGTATCATCCAGAGAACCCAGTTGATTTTTATGGTGGATCTCACATCATTCTAACTTCTTCTATCTCTTTGTTGCTGAGATCTAGCCTATGTTGGAGTTCTTTCCTTTCTCCCTCCTTCTTCTCTCCCTTCCTTTATCTCTTCTCTCTTCTTTCTTCCTTAAAACATTTGTAGGACTTCATTTTGGGGAGCTATGGAAGATACAGCTGTGACTAAGCAATATTGTAAGGATCCTCTATGTGTGGGCCCAATAATTTGCTTCAGGAACGAATGCTGTGTTGGTGGGGTCCACTTGGACTGTTTGCTGCTGATATGGTCACTGCTAGCATAGATACTCTGAATGTCTAAATTTCTGCCTGTCCAGGTCAGTTTTCTTCCAGCTGGCGTCTACCTTCAGCCATTCAGAGTATCTAGGTATCCACAGGAAAACCTTACACTTCTCTGTTTCTTCATTTCATCACTTGTACATGCAAGGCACAGATTTCCTCTTCACAAATAGAGCCTCTATTTAAGGTGCCTATTAGGAGACTCTTTCCGCTTACCATTTCTCCATCTACTTAAGGCCCAATTCAGAGCTTAAAATCTCTTCCAGACCCTGCTTTTCTCTCTCTTAAAAATAGTTTGGTTTTATTTTAATTGAAAAGGCAATATTTATCCATTTTTGTGAAATTGGAAAAAAGTAATAATCATGAATAACCTCTACTAATATTTTATTTCAGGTTGGTTTTTTTTTAAATCAGTGCACACACACACACACACACACACACATATGCACGCACGCACACACAAGACATACATACTGTATATAACAGCTAAAATGTATTGAGCAACTATATTGAGCTAGGATTTCTCTTAAGAATGTATATACATTGATTCCCCACAACAATCATATGAGATTATCTGGAGAGGATTGTTTTTGTTTTTGTCTGCAGGAGGCACCCATCTCCCCACCCTCCATCTACACGGGGCAACCACCTCATGATTTTGCCTTTGGTTTGCAGTTTTTGGTGAGGCAGCCAGTCTAGTTGTTCCATCCTCTTGTGTTAAAGGATTTGACACATATCCCATGAGAAACCAATCAAATGTCCTCCCTGGAATTTGAATCTTGAATAGAATTACTCAGAAAGACTTAGCAACTATTTTATCCTATTCATCTAGATAGTGCTGTCCCAAAAAGACTTCCCATAGTTTTGCTACTAAGTCTGAGGAGCTGCTCTGTGACCTGCCCTTTCTTATGATGAGTTCCTCAGATTTTCCTCTGCATCTCTGATCTTTCCCATATTCTTGCAACAACATTGTTTATTTTTATGAAGTTGCCTAATTTGATTTCTCCCATGCACCACCAAAAAAAATCCCTAACCAATATAAAAATACACAGAAATATACAAGTATTATCCTAGTTTACAGAGACTGAAACTGAGGCTCAATGAAATTAAGTGACTTGCCCAAGATCACCCAGGCAATAAAAAGGGGTATCAAATCTCTATAGCACTAAAGTTGGTGCTGAATTTTAACCAACTCTCTTCTCAATCTCTGTATAGATAACATAGATGTGTGTGTATTCTTATATATGTTCTACAGTTGAGATCTGACCATATTCACAACTTTATCATTTTCAGGTTTTTTTTGTTTTTTGTTTTTGTTTTGTATTTTTTTTGGTCTGGTAATAAAATTACTTTAGAAAATGTCAAAATTATTGTAAAGTACAAAGAAGGTAAAACTTATCCATTATTCCAATATCTAGGTATCATCATATGCCTATGGACATTTTGGGTTATTTCCTTTGGTCTCTTTCTTGTGTATATATACATACACACACACACACACACACACACAGAGGCAGAAAGGCAGAGAAATCCATACTCCGTAAAAATCTGTATCATCAGTTTTTTTCTTTGAACATTATTTTGTAAGTATTTTCCTGAATAATTAAACTTCTTCCAAAATATTTTAATAGCTACAATATGTTTCATTGTATAGATGTACCATAATGTATTTAATCACTCCTCTTTCAGACATTTAATAGCTGTTTCTTTTTTTGCTTTGATAACTAGCACCGCAATCAACAACTTTGTAGGCAGCTGATCATTTTCTTTGATTCTTGAAGTGAAATGATTGGCTTAAAAATTATAAAGACTCTTGATATTGTCAAAAACTTTTCAGAAAAATTGTGCCAATCTACAATCCCATGACTAGTGTTTATAAGTTAGTTCCATTCAACTGTCCAAATATGGATGCCAACTTTTAGAAATAAATGCCAATAGATGGAAAATGATAGCCTACTTGTATTAGACATTTCTTTTGATATCTTTTTTCTGATAATAAAGTGATACAAGTAATTGCAGAAAGATTGAAAAATATAGAAGGTTACAGAAAATAATGATGGCATCCATATAGAAAATGACATAATAGTGTAACAAATATTTGCCTTCTTGCTGTGCACATATTAAATGCATATATAATATTTATAATGTTGAAACCTTATGGCTCATACTTTTATTATCTAAAATTTTAATTTAATGCTCAATATCATGAAAATGTTACTGTGTTATCAAATAGTCTGCAAACCATTATTTTATTAGTTGCCAAATATTCGATCTTATGAACCTGCTATAATGTAGTTAGCTTTCATACTTATTGGACATGTATTGATCAGTATATATGGAATTGCAATATATATTGCATACAAAGGTTTATAACCTTTGACTGCATTTTTGATGATTCAATAGAATTTATGACATGAAATTAAATTATGGAATCATGGGTTTAAATAGTATGTATATTTTAAAGTTTCTTGATATTGATAAAAAAATTAGAAAAAACATTTTCTAAAATGCTTGTTCCAGTTGTGTATGAAAGTGTGCTTCATTCTTCTTGGCATTACTTTTTGTTGTTTTATTTCAATGATTCATGTTTTGTATTATTCTAACTTTTTCATACTTGTTTGAAATATTTGTATTTCTTCTTTGAATTCATTGATCATGTCCTTTGCATATTTCCCATTAGATCTATTGGGTTGTTGGAAAAGTCATCACGTATTTTTCTATGTTTTTCATTGCAAAAATGCATCGTGACTTTTCCAACAACCCAATAGTATCATGAAGAGAATTGGGCATCATTCTCTGGGGATCTATTCTCTACACAGAGCCCAGGATAACTCAGTTGCCTCCAGTTACTCTTCTTAAATATTTTGAGTAGTTCAATCGCCTGCAGCTCTTAGTAATAAGTGTCCTCATATGCTTCTAAGCATATATGATTTTAGTAAGTCATGTTTGCAAAAGAGTTTTAAATTCATAAAACTCTTCCACATCCACTAACCTGTGAGATAGACAGGGCAGGTTAATGTCATTAGCATTATTCTAGGAATGTGGAGGGTATGTTTCACAGAAGAAAGCTGTCAATAGCCAGTGGGGAGTAAAGTCAAGACTCAGACCAAGTCTTCAATTTCTAGATTCATTGTCTTATTACCAATGTTGCTAGTGTCCAGACATAAAATGACTCCACACAGGGAAGGAAAGTTCTGGAATAATGTTAAGAGACTCGATGACAATTGTATTTTTAGGAGACTGATTTACATTTAGGGACTTTTAGTTACAGTCATCCATCAGTTTTAAACTTTCAGTGTCTAAATATAAAGATGTAGCAATATAAGTGAGCCAGCTGCATTTTTTACACAGAGCATGAATTGATGAGTTTATGAATGAGTGAAGTGGTGGAAATCAACAAGAGTAATAATATTCTAGCCGGCTCTTCCCTCTCAAAAGTTTGCCGACCCCTGGCCTAAGCTCTATATCAGTACCTTGGAGAGCTTCCAATTTGTGTCACTTTTCCCCCAAGAAAGTTCTTAGGAAAGACTGGATTTCTAATCGCCAAAGGAGGCATTGCACATTGATAGCCTCCATGTTTTTTTGAAAACTAAAATATTTCATTTTTCTGCCTGAAAATGGTCTTCCCTTTTGCCCCACTAAAAATTGCACACGGTTTGTAATCTTGAGAGTGTATATTTAAGCAGCTTCATGGTATTTTTTTTCCCCACAGAAAACATTTCTTTGCCACGTCTGCAAAATATCCTTTTCTAATGAGTGCCTGGAAGACAATCAGCTCTCCCTATCACGACTGGTTTTTATTTAAGGGTAGAATCTATTATGGAAGCAGAGTGTGAGTCTCCACAGGTGTAGCTAGGAGCTACCCGAGGCGACCCTACAGACGCCTGGGACCCTGCGGCCGCTTCTGCCCTTGGGGCTGCGCGACCCTCCGCTTCGCTAACGCCCCGCCGCGCACGCGCGCTCCCCACCCCCGCCTTCCCTACACCTGCCAGGTCATAAAACCCTCTCCACCCGCCCTTGTGCGCTCCTGGAGGCTCAGTCTTGTCTCACGTTGATTGGTCCAGAGGGCGCGTCCAATCAGCAATCCCTCCTGCGTAGCCTATTCCCGCTCTTCCCGCCCCCTCCCCGCCCCTCCCGCCCCTCTCAGGCACCTACCTTCTTTGTGACTGGAGCGCGCCCAGGTCACTCAGTGCGGGGGGGAGAGGCGTGTAGCAGTGGGAAGGAGGGGTTCAGGGAGGGAGGGGAGGGGAGGGAAAGGTGGGGAGGGAGGAGGCGGGGCTCAGGTGCGGAGCTACGCTGCCCGGGCCGGGCGGGGAGGGGACGAACAGCGGAACGGGCGGGGCGGGGGCGCGGGTGGCGCTGAGGAGGGGGTTACGCCGACGACGTCGGCAGCGCGAGGCCTCGCGCGTGAGTGGTGCGGGCGCTGGGCCTGGCTACTGAGCTTTCGTGGTGGGCGAGCAGCAGCACGTCGACGCCGGCTCCTGGAGGAGCGCGGCGGGGAGGTGTCGGGGTTAGCGGAGTATTCGATTGCGGCCCCGGCCATGGAAGAGACGCAGCCGCTTCCGCAGTCCGAGCTGCAGCTGTGCGAGAGCCTCATCATCTGGGTGAGTCCGAAGGGGGCGAGGGGGGCCGAGAGGACGCGGCGAGTTAGCCGGGGCGTCCGGTTGTCCCCAGGTGAGCCTGCGGAGTACCCGGGGCCACTTGCGCCGCGGACTCGGCGCGTTGCCCTCCGCGCCTCCTGGAGTCCTTGACCGGCAGAATGCCACCTGCGGGTCGCGGG